AAACCCCAAAACCCCAAAACCCCAAAACCCCATGAACTAGTATGAATGGGTAAAATAGGACTGCTAAAATTATTCCTAAATAAACTTTTTTAGTAATCTAAAAATAATTAATAAAAGTAATATAAGAAATCAGTTAAGAAAACTAGAGATCCTAAATAAATTTATAATGTAGTCTAGCTTAATAAAATAAAACACAATGAGCTCTGCTGGTATGAAGATCTTTTATTAGCATGGAGATTTACTTGAGAGTTTAGTTAGTTAAAGTAAAACAATCTCAAAATTACTAAGATCTACAGAGAAAATCTTGATTCCAACTTCATTTGAGAGTTGTTAAACAAAGGATCACAATAATATCTTGGAAGTTTAAGAAGATGGGGGATTAAAGCCTCATAAAATATATAGATACAGTACTTTCAAATGGAGTAATAAGTAGAAAAAAACAAGCATAAAAGATAACTAATAAGAAAATACAGGCCATAGTGTATAAGAAGCATAAGTATAAGATATTAAAGGCGTTATGTCTGGAAAGTTTTAAAAGCTGACTAAAAAAGAAGATGATTAAAATGAATCCCAGGACATTAAGGAATAAATTTTGAATTTAGATTAGATTTAGAGTTTTTGATAAGATGCTACAGCTAATGTAAGAATGTAAGCACCTAATTCAACTAAAAACTCTCGGAATATTTAGTTTTTTAACATTTAATAAAATAAAAATCCTGAAAGTTTTACACATTGTTTGCACTTGAACCGAAATTTTAAGCCTAAATGCCGCCATAGTTAATAAGATTGATCATTGAAATTTGATTTTGAGTAAAATAAATAGAATATCTAGTCCAAGTTTGATAAATAATAAGAAAATTCCCCTCTCTTACATCTTCGATGTGAGTCTGATTAGCAGGACCATTATTCAAACTAGAGAGGTAAAGATGCAACTTATAAATATGAGAGTTCAAATTAATCTAGTACCAGTTCATAATGTAATTAGCAAGAAATCAAGATTTGTGAAACATATGGAAGAAAAAATTAAATTATTCAGATAAAGGAAGATAGTTAAAATCAGATAGATAAAAATTTTAAAAAATTTAACAACTTAAATTTAAATCAATTCGAGATGTATGATCATAAAACTCCAACAGCACATACCGTTCAATTTCAATAAGATTAAAATTAAATGATTTACCAAAAAAAAGACATCAATTTTCCTGTATTCATTCCAAATCCAACGCAAGATCAGAATACTAATATTTAAATGCGATTAGAAGTATCAAGGTAAGTCTTGTACATTAAATTTTCCATTGTAATAGAAACTAATATTATGTGGAAGTATAATTATTTTTCAGAGGATTCGTGATGTTTATCACTAATATTCTCAAATAGTTTTGATTTTTTTAGAATTACTCAATAAAATCTTATTTATTAGAAAAAGCCTAAAGAGATAGGATATTGAAGTATAAAAAAAACTTGAAGAGGAAAAAATCAGGGAATATTTAATCTACTAGCAGATTTAAGATTTAAAGTTGCAGAGTATAAGTTAGATAAATAATGATACTACTAATTAGGATTCTAGGAAAATTTAGACTTCAATTATAGCTAAAAATTCTGGCAAGAATTCTAATGTTCTAATTCTACCATAGCTAACAACAGAAAAGAGAAGACCATCTGCAATTACAAAATTGAATATTCAAATTACAAAAAGTACCATTCATGATTAGGATAGAGTTTAATCAGCATTAATAGATGGGAAGAGATACTAAGATTTTCTAAAGGGAGATGAAAAGAATAAATATGATGTATATAAAGGCAATATTATGAAGATTAAACAAGAAGAATAATTAAAAAGAATTTCTACAATTATCAGTAACTCTCCTAAATTCTAAAGGTCCAAGTAACTTTGATCTGCAAAAGTATATTAAGTAAAGAACTAGACTCTACAAAAGGAAGTAGCTATTGAATTAAATTTCATTAATACTAAAAACCTTTAAATTTCCTTATTGACTATAGCTAATTTATTGGAATTAGTAATTATTGATATTATAGACATTATTAATAAGTTAAATATTAATTCTAAATTTAATGGATTTTAAAAATTTTATATATTTCTGTTTTATGGGGTTTTGGGGTTTTGGGGTTTTGGGG